AATTAAATTTACATTTAATTCATGATTCACTGTACTAATTATCTTTTCTTTTGACCTTGTTTCTCCTCCGTTTGTTGATATGGCTAACAGGAGTTGCTGCTTCTCAAGCGTGCGTTTGGGTTAATGTCAAAAAAAAAAAAAAAAAAAAAAAAAAAAAAAAAAAAAAAAAAAGCGTGCGTTTTTGGAAAAAAAAAAAAAAAAAAAAAAAAAGCGTGCGTTTGGGTCGGTTGTTTAAGTTCATTTCGTTGTTGTTCTTCATTTTGCTTATGCATGTGTTTATTTGTCCTAACGTACGTTCTCTTCTATGATTATAGAATAGTACCGTATTAAAATAACATTAAGATTAAAATATTATTTGATATTTTCGCATACTAAATAAAAATAATATTCCAAAATAGAAAATGTATTTTAACAGTACAAAAAATAATTAGTTATATAAAAGAAATTAATAATAGAGAAATTGAAAGATTATTTAAAATCATTCTAAATATAAAAAAATAACCATAAAACTGCAAAACTAATTAAAATAAAAAATAAAAAATAAAAATGTACTTTAAAAACTACATAACCATAGAATAGCTTCAAAAAATTGATCACGGGGATGTACTTCGTAAGTGCACAAATCGTATAAGTAATATAGAAAATATTATTGTCTTCACCGGATTAAATTGTTGATTATTAAACTATTATGTTTTCAATTATCTAGAATTCTAAAGAGCGCAATAGATAAACTAAAATTAAATAATTAATTAAAATATAAATAAAAATAAACAACTATAAAATATATGAACTAATATAATCTAAATTCTAGTCTTGGCAGGGTGAAGCTAGCATTTAGAAAGAAGGGTTAAACCATTATAAAACTTTATTAAAAAGATATTGTAGAGAGCTGGAGGGGCTAGTGTCTTAAAAGCTCCTGTAGTCAAGGTTCAAACTTTGATGTTGCTAAGAATATATATATATATATATATATATAGGAGGGAGCAATTGCCCCTCTTTTGTAGCACGTAGCTTCGCCCTTGGCTATTGGGAGTTGGTATCACATTAGCTAACAGAGGGCCGTTGCAAATATAAATTTTCCACTTTGCATTTGATAGATGATAATAATTAATAATTGCATGCTGGTAATAATGGTTTTCAAATTGACTGGAAGAGGCTTTTAAGATGATTGATGTGGTATCGGTTAGCACCTTAAACGTCTTCACCCATTATTTTCCAAACTTATCAGTACCTGCTTCGTGAAGGTAAGGCTCCACGTCCACTTCCAATTTACATTGATGAAGGACCAGTAGAAGAGGCTATAAATTTCTCAGGGAGACACTTAACTTTATGTCGCATGTTATCTTATGCTTCTTCATGCCAACGAAGAGGGTTAATTTGGCTCTCTGAAGACCATGTTTAATGCCTTCTCTTCAACAAATGACCCACTTGATTACAATATGATCTGGTATCAACAAGCAGTGTTGGAAGCAGTGGGCATTTCTCTTCGAATGATCTTCAAGTTTTAAAAAAAATGGAAAAAAACAGAAAAAGCTAAATATATAAATAACAAAACGGCAAATTAAAAAAAAAAAGGGCAAATGCACTTCAAAAGCTCTAATTTTATGTATTGTCGGTGTCTATTTTGAAGCTTCTATTTTTTATATATTTACTAGTTTTTTTTATGATGTGCATTGTGCATTTATTATACTCGTTATTTATATATATTTAATTTTTTTATTTACATAATATTAAAGTATAAGTTTTTATTTAGATTAAAATAAATAAAATATTTGTTTACATTACACTTTTCCCTAAAAACTACTTGTAATACTATTTCTATGTAATTCTATTTTATATAATGAAGTTATTTCAAAATGAAGTTCAACCTAACCTTTGAACCTAATTTCAGCTCCTATATATATTCTTGAAACCTTAATAGGTGTCTAAAAAGTAAATCAAGTCATCACTCAATTCTCAACTCTCTGTCCTCCAACCCTAAATCAACATCTATATATATTTATAAGGGAAAAGGAAAAAAGATACAAAAAAAATATTACTACTAGGTAAAAGAAAATAAATGAAAAACTGATTCAAATTGTTTAAAAATAACACCAACCAGAATAATAGTTGTAATCACTTTGATTACAATGACAGTATTATCTACTTAATGCATTAGAGAAAGAAAAATTATATAAATGGATTCTTGAGACCAAAAAAAAAATATATAGTTTTAGTTTTTTCCTAGTTTTTCAAGTACTATTTTCTTTTGAGTCAAACAGATTTAGGATATAAAAAAAAAATGTCAATAAATTAAAAATGTTTAATCATCAAGAGACGGTAGTGAAAGCGATAGTAGTTACAAATTGATTCAGTAACCAAAAAGAAAATAAAAAATAAAAAATTATTTTCAGAACTCAAAATATAATAAAAAACAAATTACTCCAATTTGAATCTTAAAAATTAGCCCCTTCTTCAATCGGGAAGGCAATAATTTAATGAAATTTGAGTTTGATGAATGAAAATAATAAAAAAAGACTAAAGTCAAGCCAATGAAAGATATCCAATCAAATTATATAAATATAAAGAAAAATAATATTAAAATAGAAGAATATATTTTTTCTTTTTTATCCATCTCCTAAAATAAAATATTTTAAATCACAATCAAATAATAAAATCAAACATTTAAAAAATAACTTTGAAAAGTTAAAAATTTAAAAATTTTCAAATGCCTTATTATCATATAGATTAAACTAGACTTATCTTCCTTGAGACTCAAAATGCAGGGGGTTAGAGGACATATAAAAAAAAAAAAAATCGTCAATAAATTATTAGAGAAAAAATGGAGATTTAATCATTCAAGAGGACACCGGCGCTTAGAGTCGAAAGCGCTGGTAGTACAATTAACAGAAACTTGATATCGCAGTACACGCGAAAAAACCAAAATGACAAAAAGTAAAGAAAATTAGACCATCTATCAGGACACGCCACAACAATAATAAAAAACAAAATTACGTCCACAACTATGGTCGTCGCACAATATCGTGAACAGAATCCCAATACCCCTTCTAGCTCCAACTCACAGAAAGAAAGAGACAAATAACATATCGAAGAAAAAAAATTATGAGTAATTGGAGATATCGGCCATTGAGACAATAATAAAAAAAGGGACTAAAAGTGCTACAAGGCCAAATAGAAGAAATAATCCAATCAAGGACCAAACTTAGCTCTCAATAAAAAACGAATGGAAAAAAATAATATTAAAATAGAAGAGGACATAATATTTTACTCGATTTTATACCGAATGCACAATCATCCCTCAGAAAATAAAATATATTTTAAAAATATACAAGAGCAAATGGCAAAAATAATACACAAATCCAAACAATTAAAAAAACCCAAGACTAAACTTTAAGAACAAAGGTTAACATAGAAAATGTTAACCACAAAATATAATAATCAAAATGCACTGTGATATATGCAACAAACACAGGAAAACTCAAAAGATACGAATTAATATAATTAACAATAAAAATCAAAAATTCAAACAGAAATTAAAAAAAACTTACAAAAAATTGTAAAAGCGACATAATTAATAACCTCCTCACCACGTAAATTTACTCTTAAACAAACACTAGATATTGCAACAATATAAACGAAAAAACCCTAATCGCAATAAAAATCAAAAAACAGAAAATTTCGAAAAACTCACAAAAAATAACTACTTGTAGCTAAAAATAGCATTAAATGTTTCTTTCACAAAGAAATTAAAGAATGCTATCCAAGAATATTTAGGTAACTCAGACATATTCTATTTACTAGCAAAAATAAAGTTAAAACCAAAAAATTCACCAACCATAAAGTCACAAGCAGCAAGCTTACACATGCTACGCTCGTACGACGATAGTATTATATGGTAACCACAATAACAAGATTATAATCATAAAAGAAAATACGCAATTAAAAAATTGTTAGGAACATCATGAAAAAAAAAAAAAAAAAAGGTATCAAAATACCCTCTTCTATAATACAGAACACATACATTATTAAACAGATTACAATCAAAGTATATTATACCTATACTCATTAAAAGCAGGATTAGTTCCCTTAGTTCACATTAATCTTCTTTACACATCAAAGCACTCATTATCTTCACAACATCACACTTAGCGACCCTACTTATAAAAATGACCTATTGTTTAGACATAATCCAAATTTAAATATATGGCTCCAACTTTGACGTAATGTCTCATGTCTATATTAAGACAACATAAAATTGGTCTGAAACATAGCGAAACCAGTAGATATTGAAACACCCGAATTATTTCATTTTAATGTAAAACTGTCTGAATTTTTATTTTCAAAACTTTAGAATTTTTATTAAATCAAAAACCCGAATTTTTGGATAGTATGGGTTGTTAAGACCGAGCAAGTTTAACTTGAACCTGAATTTGAATTGGGCCCAAGCCCAATAACAGACTGTCCGGAAATTTTGATGAAATAAAAGGGAATTCTACGATATAAACTAATTATCCTAAATTAATTTATTATTATCATTATTTATTGTACTATTAGAAAGTAAATTGAAGTGATGTTTTATGATCCAACTAAATAATTAGATAAATTAAACCGGACCTAAAAATCAATTAACTATGTCGAAACCACACGAATAATCGAAAAATCGAGCGAAAAACTCAAAAACCAAACAAACGAAATGAGCACCAAATCACTGGAATCGGACCGAAACCGGTTTGAATCGAACCAACGGACCGGCACCATTTCCTTTCCTTTTTCTTTTGCTTTTCTTTCTTCCTTCTCCTTCTGCACAGTAGCGTGACCACCTCCTCCTCCTCCTCGTCCCTCTTCTTCGATCTCCTTCCTCCGGCCACCAAATTCGGCAAATGAATACTCTAAAAACATCTACTCAACGCAAGGATGAAGATTATAGCGTAGATTTGAATTGAAATTGTGTCTATTTTGAAGGGTAAGAGTTTGAAGTTTTGGACACCCTTTTTCCGGCGATTCACGCCGTTTCAGGCAAGCCTAGGGCTCAAGGTGAGTACCAAATGACTCCTCTCTTCTTCTTCTTTCATTTGATGGCCTCCTCGTCGACTGTAATGGCCGGAATCGGAAAACCCAAAATGGGTATCACCGAACCTTTCCGATCAATTTCCGGCCAAATAGTCGGAAAACCCAAAATTGGGATTATCACCGAACCTTTCCCGATAATTATTCGGCGGCCAATACAAAATGGGTATCACCGAACCTTTCCGATCAATTTCCGGCCAAATAGTTCGTACCCACCTTGATTTGAATACATATTAATGATCCTCTCATCGAAACAAATAAAATGATAGATTGTTTGTTAATTTTGGTGATGATTTGAATTTCCGACCACCGTGCATGGCGGTCGGCGGCGGCGGTCCGGTGACCGGACGGCGGCACTCCGGCGAGGCCCCGAGAGACAGAATCCTCTTCTCTTCGCGCTGATCATGGAATTGTCGCCCGATTCCCAATGGGTATGTTCTAAGATTAAATTCTTAATTTTTATATATATAAAGAATTAATTGACTAATGAATTTAATCGAGTTATTAAATAGACTAAATTGAATAACAAGATATTAACTTATTGAATTAACTAAAACTTAATAAAAAAAAATATAAAATAAAATAAAATAAAAAATAAATAAATATATATTATATATATTATATATATATATTTATATTAATTATATGAATCATTTATAGTCCTTTGTAAATAATTTAGAATTGATTAGTGTGGCGTATTTGGATTTAGCGAACATTGATTGTTGTTACTTGTTAGGTACTTTAGAATAAACTAATTGTATAATTAGTTTTAGGAACAGTTGGTCAGAGTAAATTACATGTATTTATTTATTATGAATAGAGTGAGTTGAGGAGAAAGAATATAATGAGAATTGAGTTAATTAGTTTAATATGTAGATAAACCAATTGTAGATTCAAAACTAGCTCGTATTGTGCATAAGAGAAGTAAGGCGAATTTTTAATGTTTGGTTAACGGCTTAGTAATTCGAAATAGAATGTGTGTGGATACGGAATGTGTTAATGTAACTTGGGATGTCCTATGTTCATTTTTCTGATATCTAGATATATTAAAATATCAAATTTTTTTAATTAGTAGTATTAATAAATTAAGTTATGGGCTTAAAATTGTTTTAGCTGGTTTGAACAAATTAGTTACCGTAAAACCTATAATTATATAATTAATAATGATCTTAAAATATTGGATTTATTGTTGATTAAGGAAGGTAGTTTGTAATTATTTGTTAGGTTGATGTTTGATAATTTGTTTGTTTTTTTTTATGGAAGGAGGATGGGATTTTAAGAATTTGATGATTTGCCCAGACGGATGGGTCCTGTGTTGCATTGTGATTGAGAAAGAGATAATGATATGTGATATTTGATTTGCAGTGTAGATAGTCCAATTTTTAGGTGAAGGTGCTTTTGCCTTGATTTTGATAGAAATTAGACTAAATTTTAATTAACAACATAATTAATAAGTTTATTTAGATTAGTTCTATAATTTGGTACATAATAAATATAGTGCTACTGATTATTTATTATCTTTAGTATTCATTTAATTATGTACATATTTATTTATTTATTTATTTATTTGCATTGATTTTGGATGTATTTGGTGTAGTACGTTGAGAGAATTGTTTGAATAATTGTGCTGTGCATATATTGTGTTTTGTTTGTGTGGAATTGGGATGAAGTGGGTCACCATGGGACTGTGAGACCGTACAGTTATATGGATCCAATATGATTACCGTTAGCCGGGTAAATGGGAGATCGGCGCCCCCGTGTGCACCTACCGTTACCGTTACCGTTAACCACGGGTTGGTGTAGAACCGTTTACCTTTTGTTTATGTGGATCCTGATTACCGTATACCTTTTTTTGTTGTTTGTGTATATTATACCGTTCACTGTTACATGGTATTCCATTTAGCAGTTACCGGGTTAATTTGGGAGAATCGGCGCCTTTGCTTTTATATTACCGTGTGCACCTCCAGTACCAGATTAAGCTCTAGTTTAACCAAACAGGTTGTGCTTCTCTGTGTTCGTTTTGTCTGCACTGCGGATTCAGTCTAGAAATTTTGATTCGCTTGCCAGTTAGGGTGGCTCTCGGTGCTGTGGTGTGTGGAGCGCGACTTGATGATCCTAGATTGGAATGGAGCCACCGGTTGACTACCTGTATAGGGTATGAAAAGATAAAGAGAAGGATATGAAAAACAATGAGAAGGGCTGTCCAAGTGAGATTTAAGACTCCGAGGTCGGAAATTGTACCCAGTAAATGGGGGATCGGCTTCCCCTGGTGCAATGTTCACGCTTGAGAAACGGATTTGAGCCCAGTGGGAGGACGGCTCAATCGGGGGCTTTCGGTGACTCCACTGACCCAACTTCGCCACGTGATGTTGATAAATATGACAAAGATCGTTAACTAATTCGTGCAGTGCCTGGTGAATAATGCCAACTTGTGGTGACTGGCGCTGATAGATGAACATATAACTAAGTCGGATGACTAGATTGATATATTTTATAGGCATTTTGTGATGAATGCTGTGTTGTTGTGTCAATAATTTTATTATTTCTTGTATACAAACTCTTACATCTCTTTTTTGTTTAAAATTCTTTTCAGGAAGTTAGCTCTTTTTCTTAAGTCCCAGCAGAGTGGGAAGTCTACTCTTTTCAAACTGTTAGAAAAGAGTTTCTACCTAATTTTAGTGATCGGATCTAATTAAATAGATAAATGATCCGAAGGACTGTCATCTGGTATTCATTTTGTTATAGTGGAACTCCGCAGTTTATTTATGGAGATTTGTGTATAATTTTAGGTCGTTTATTTATTATTTATTATTAGATGAAATCATTCTGTAGCAATATTATATAATATTGTATTTGTTAGAGCAGGGTAATTTGTATAATTGTTTAAGATGTTTTAAATTTGGGCACAGAGAGTTTAATAGAATCTTAGCGTTTAATTTATCGGGCAATCAGGATGGGCTGAATGGTTAAAAATTAGATTGAGGATAGGGCTTAATATTTTTTTAGTTTGGTTTCGAGGCGTGGGTACGTAGTCGGTGCTCGGGGGCTTTTTAATGCCTGTGACCGTGGGGCCCCCTGGAGTGCTGGGTTCGGTTCCCGGGCCCATTGGATTCGGGGTGTCGGGGGCCTTAAGCTTACCTGGGCCCTAGTGCCGGTCCGGCCCATGGATTCGGGTCGTGACAATATTATTGAAAATCACATTTTTCCTCCGTATTCTATAGTTATATATAGTATCAATAAATTAAATATAAATTTTTTTGAATAATTAAAAATAAATAAATTAAATAGAATAGGTTAAATGAACTAATAAATATTTATTAAAATTAATTTGATAAAATTTTAAAATATTTATTAGGCGAACTAAAAAATATTAAAATTTCTTATGCATGTGCATGCACCATTAAAAAATTTAAGAGTGTAGAATTTTTAAAAAACTAATGAAAAAATATTTAAATTTCAAAAACTTAAAAGTCATAATTATCTATTTATTTATAAATTATTCAAATATTAAGTGTGTATAGTATTTAAAACTTTAAAATATAAAATTTTTAAAAACTAAAAAAAATCTCTAAAATTCAAAAATTTTCAAAAAATTTGGAAAAATTATAAATTAAATTAAAATTTATAATATTAATTATGTCAAATTTATTTATATATATATATATATATATATATGTATATAATTTAATTAATTTTTTTTCGATTGACTAAAATATTATTTCAGGATATTTTGATAAATTTATTAAAATGTTTTAGAAATTTTTATTATTTCCTCTCTCGAAATCATATTATATCATTTCCACATTTTACTTTGATTCGCAAGGTTTGATGTAATACATTAGATATTGTTACGTGCTCTAGAAATTTATTAATTATTATATTTTTTTAGATATTTGTTATAATTATCATCACTTATAAGATATGCTTAATTTCATTTCTCAAGGATTTTATAATAACTCAAGTAATATAACATTGCGTCATGAGTAGGAATGCAGTGATTATATACCAAATTATCTAGAGTCAAAGATTCGAAATTTGCATTAATACACTATCCGTTCCTAACAGTAGCATGGAATATATTTAAATTGGTTCGGCAATAGCCTCTAAGTATTTTAGGCGAGGATTAATAATTAGCATGTCCCATAATCATTCATCACTCCACAATATATGTATATAATTAATTAATTTTTTTTCGATTGACTATAAAATATTTCAGGATATCTTGAAAATTTATTAAAATGTTTTAGGAAATTTTATTATTTCTCTCGAAATCCTATTATATCCACATTTTACTTTGATTCAAGGTTGAGATACATAGATATTGTTACGTGCTCAGAAATTTATTAATTATATATTTAGATATTGTTATAAATTATTCACCTAAAGAATGCTTAATTCTTCTCAAGGATTTATAATAAACTCAATAATATAACCATCTCAATATAGGAATCAGTTTATATACCAATTTCAAGAGCAAAGATTCGAAATTGCTAATCACATTCGCCTAAACAGTAGCTGGATATATAAATTTCTGCAATAGCTCAAGTATTAGCAATAATAATTGCTGTCATAATCATTCTACACTCATTCTTTAACTAAGATTACCTTTAATCACACTAATATATTCACCAAAATATGTTTTAAATAAAGATAGAAAGAAATTAATTTAAAATTTCTAAAATATTTATATGAACAGTAGTATCTAAGGCTTTATTCTACACTAATTCAATTAATACATCAAATCCTATAATTATACTCAATGAATTCATGAAAAATATACCTAAAACGACCCAAAAATCTTTTTTAAAAATTTTACATTTAAAAATTTAATTGTAAATTTTAACCGATGAAATTTAGTAAAAATATTTTATTATTGCTAAACCAGATCAGTAAATCAATTTTAATTTTTCAAAAATCAAGTCAATTCACTAAATTGGACCAAATCGGTTCGAATCGAACCTGAAAGTCTAGAAACCCAGATTTTTATTTCTTCTCTCTTCATCTTCTTCTTCTTCCTTTTCTCTCCAGCGCCGCTGCCTTCCTCGCCATCGCCCTGCCACTGCCTCTCGATCTCAGTCTCTCTCTTTCTTGCGTCGTCCCCAGCGAGCTCGACGGCGTCTGCGACCTCCGTTCTGATCGCTGCTCGACTCCAGCCACAGCCTGACGCCACGCCTCCTGCTGCTCGCGACTCCAGTGTGCACCACGGCCTCCGGCGAGCGCAGCAAAGGTAAGCTGCTATTCCCCTTCGATCGACAGCTTCTGTCAATGCTTCCTTTGCTCCTCTTTGATTTTCCAGTGAATTCTACAGTTGGATAAGCCACATTTCGACCCTCTTAGATTTATTTTATGAGTTCTATGTCTCAGCTGAAGGATTTGAAGCATAAACTGATTTAGTATAGAATCTGAAACTCCTAGCTTCCATTTCTGCAGATTAGCTTAGAAAATCTTGATAAAAAAAAAAAGTTGCTAATGAAAGCTATAATCTGAGTTTCTATATGAGGGTGAGTACATTACTTTGTTTGCATCAAATC